TGAGCTGTAGAATCATCAGGGTTTTTGATTCACACAGACAGCAAGTGACTGTTGCATACATACTGGCAGGAGATGTTTGCGCTCAACCCATGTGCCACATTGTGAGACAGATGCTGTGTGGAGCACACCCAATCTGCTCTCCATTGGAGTAGGGTACATCTCATGTATTCCGAACAGGGGGCAGATGTGATGTCCAAAGACGGTCCTTTGCGGCACGGGGACCTGGGACCTTCCACCCAGAGCTATGGCTCAGACACGGCAGAAATCCTGCCAGCGCCTGTGGACGTGTAGCAACACGAGAGAACGCTCAATGTCAACTATAATTATCGTGGAGCCACAGGACGATCCACCGCTGGGGTGGACGTGCCTGCTCACAGCCTGTGGTCATAATGCTTTTTCACCTTCCTCTCTCCCTCTGATATCACGGTTTTCTGAACCAAGCTCAGGGGGAGGGACTGGCAGCTCCTCTGCCCCAAGTGCGTGAACGCATCATGGTTCCCAGGCCTACGACACTTGTTATCAGGGCACTCGTGGAACTTCCTGTGGAGGGAGGGCGTTCTCCTCCAGGCGGGAGGAACGATCAGGAGTTAATCAGAATAGGCCAGCACCTGTGGTCTGGCCGCTGTGCGGATCTTTTTGAGAGGATGGATCTCTCTCAAGATGTAGTGCGTACAATTTAGGATTCACGTGCTGCAACCACCACAGCGCTGTTCACATCAAGTGGTCAGTTTTTTTCAGCACTGCGGTATAGAGAAAGGCGTAGAGGCCACTTCATGTCCACTGTACAACATGCTGTCCTTTTCTGCAGCAGTCGATGGACAGAAATCTGGTGTCCAGCACGATTATCGTATGCTGCAGCCATGTTTTCTTCTTGTCTCAAAGTTGTCGGAGACAGAACAACCTTTAATCATCCTCTGACGGAGCATTTTGACTCAGATTGAAATAGCAGCTGTGGGCCTGTTTGTGACACGAGAAAACGCTCAGTGTCAATTATGGTTTTCTCTGAGCCCACGAGACGAACCACCGCTGGGGGTGGATGTGTTTGCCCACAGCCCATGGCCCAAAATGCTTCTGTACGCATTTTCCTCCACCTCCTCTGATTTTACGGTTCTTGAACCGAGTTCAGGAGGAGGGATTGACAGCTCTCCTGGTGGACCCTGAACACGTGAACGCACCATGGTTCCCATTCCTGCAACGCCTGCTGTCAGGGCGCTCGTGGAAACTGCCGTGGAGGGAGGACGCTCTCCTCCAGGCAGGAGGAGCGACCAGGAGTTACCCAGAAACAGGCCAGCACCTGTGGGTCTGGCCGCTGAACGGATCCGCTTAGAGAGGATGGGTCTCCCACAGGATGTAGTGCGCACAATTCAGGTTTCACGTGATGCATCTACCACAGCGCTGTACACATCAAAGCGGACAGCTTTTCAGCGCTGGTGTACAAAGAAGGGTGTAGAGGCCACCTCATGTCCACTAGGTGGCATGCTGTCCTTTCTACAACAGCTGATGGACAGAAATTTGGCGTCCAGCACGATTAAAACGTACGCTGCAGCCATCTCTTCCTGCCACGAAGGGTTCGGAGACAGAACAGTTTTTAATCATCCGCTGATGAAGCGTTTTCTAAAAGGTGTACAGAGATGCAGGCCTGTTTCACACCCACTTGTTCCACAATAGGATTTAACCCTGGTCCTGCAGGTCCTGATCAAAGCTCCATTTGAACCTCTGGATCAGGTTCCACTTAAATTCTTGTCTCTTTAAACAGCCCTGCTGTTGGCTTTAACATCTGCTAAGAGAGTGAGTGATTTATCTGCCCTCTCTGTCGCTCCGTCATGTCTCAGAATTCAGGCTGACGGCAGCTCAGCTGATATAAGACCAAACCCAGCTTTTATGACTAAAAACATCACAAGCTCTTTTAAATCAAGAGCGTTATCGTTGGAGGGGTTGGCATTTTTCAGTGCAATGCTTCGCATATCGGGATAAACCCATCAGCGACAGGGCTACGCCTATATTCATAGAATCTGGGGTTACAGTACGTAACCAACGATTTCACTTGTAATTTTTTCAGCTGCAATCTGTTGACAGATTTAAAGTTTTTTTTTTGCTATCAATACAGAAAAAAACAGTGTCTGGTTAAAAGCCTGGGGTCCAGTCATCTCAGCAGCAGACGTGAACAGGAATCTTTTATTTAAAAAAATCATAATTACCTTGAATATGGGCCCAAAATCCTGGATTCACGCTGCTGAAGAAAAGACCAGTTTCCCAAAGACTCATTTCCACGTTGGTTGCGCCAAAATGTAGTGGCATCTACATTAGTACTCTTGGGTTCATTAAATAAAACAGTAGACACCTTGGTTCTGTTTGACAGCAAAATGGGGGTTTTATTTGAAGCTTAGCCACTAAGGCAGAGCAGCCAGAAATACCTTGGGACCTCAAAGACAGAACCCCTACCTAAACACAGTTTCTGCTCACTTTTATACTCTCCGGCTTATGTAAAGACCAGCACACGAACATACTTGTTTTTGCCAAAAGAGTTGTTATCTGGCATTTGCAGATTTCCATATACGAGGATGTTATTCGGCCGATCAGTATTACTGGAGACACTTTCCTGGGTTTGTGACAAGATATTTGACGCACAAATTTCCCGTAAGATAAACACACTTCTTTTCCCAGCACTGAGACACAGAAAACAAATTCCTATCAGGTCAGGTTGACATGAACACTAGTTGTTAAAACAGTTTTGCTGGGAAACAAGTACAGGAATTTCAAGCACATCTCAGAGTCTGTTAAAAGCAAGTTCTGTTGAACACAGTTGTAAGTTAAAAGACATTTGCTTTGGCCTTATTAAACAGATTATCCAATTAATAGTTTCTTAGATTCTACACTATTCTAATGACCAATTCTCTACATTATTTAATGCCTCTTGTATTTTCCTTTTAACAAATTCTATATTTTTTCCCCTTTTCCAAATAACTCCATCATCTGCAAATAATGAGACGCCAAAAGATTCATCTATATTACTAAAAATATCGTTATTCATTATAGTAAATCATATAGGACTAATTATACTGCCTTGGGAAGTACCATTTTCCACTTGATAATATGAACTTATTTCTCCATTTATTTTAACACTAATACTTCTTTTGGTTAAAAAGTTTCTTATCTATCTATAGATCTTACCTTTTATACCCATCTGTTTTATTTTAATCAATAAACCTTCTCGCCATAACATGTCATACTCCTTTTCCACATAAAAAAAAAACAACAAAAAACTGCTATCACACTTTCCTTATTAGCCTGGGCCCTTCTAATTTCATGTTCCAAACATACTGCTGGATCTATAGTACTTCTGCTTTTTCTAAAGCCAAATTGATAAGATTTTATCTTCTCCTTAGATTCTAAAAAATATATTATTCTATTATTTACCTTTTTTTCCATAATTTTACTTAAACATGATGTAAGAGCAATTGGTCTATAACATTCTGCTAAATTAGGATCCTTACCAGGTTTACAAATTGGGACAATAATTGCTTATTTCCATTTGTTTGGTATCTTCCCTTCCTCCCACACCTTATATAATTTTAATAATATTTCTTTGGTCGCATGACTAAGATTATTCAACATGCAATAATTGATTTGATCTTTGCCAGGAGTTGACTTACTGGAACTTTTTAATGCTTCGTTTAATTCCATCAAAGAAAATTTTATATTAATAGTATCCTCATTATCTTCCTCATTTTGAAGTAGTTCAGTGTTCATGCACCAAGAACTACTGAAAGAAACAACACAAAAACCTCTGAAGACACTTCTTCTTCTTCTTCAGGAAATAAAAACAAAAACGGAGTGGCATCAAGTTTTAGCAGTTTTCGGAGTTATATTTTGTCATTTTTCAAAAATGGGCTCAGCATGAGCAGAAGATGAGGCAGAAGACCATGGAGAATATTGTTTTTCACACAAGGCAGCTGACGGCTCCATATAAGGTAAGAGAAATGCGTTTGTTTGCCCTGCGCTGTACTCCACTTCTTGCTTGTGGAGCGGGGCCCGGTCTGTTTACATTCACACTGTACTCGAACCATGCTGCAGTTCTCTTCTACCGGACAAAGACCTAGGTTTTAGCCCGGGCCAGAGTTCGCCTTTTTGTTCCGTGACAGAGTTTGATGGCGTGTTTACACCTCCCCAAACGAACCGGACTTTCTAGGAAAATGAGCTAGAGTTCGATTAAAGCGGACTAAACAGGGCTGGTGTGATATGGGCTGGAGACGGAGTAAAGGCAGAGACTGGCTCTACTGCAGCCCCCCTTCAGTAAATCAACCTCTCGAGTATGTGGCTGTTTTGTCCGGGCTGTGGTTTAACATAGTGTGACTTCCACCGTGCGCTATGAATGCCACATGGGGTTTGATGAAGGTTCTGAGTCTGGTGTGCCACACCGAGTCGAGGTGCTCACCGACCACCTACTACAAAAACTGCTGGATCCGACAGGGCTGGTTCACACCACACCAATATTGACAATATTGCACACCAATATTGACTTGCTTTAAGATGGTAACAGACTTACATCATTAGCTTATGAATTAAAATATATTTCTTCAAACTTAGGTTGATTAAATAACTTTTCACCACAGAGAGGAGCTGTTCATTACATGTCCACACTCCACTTTAAAATATATCACTTAAGCTGTTTTCTGAAAAAACAAACAAACAAACAAAAAAGAAAGCACAATTGCTGTGATTGGTTGATTTGATTTGTGGCATGTTGTGAGGGACTTGTTTTTTGGCCCCCACCATCAGTGTTCATAAAGCAGAGCAATTAACCTACAAACTGGGCACTTTTTTTTTAGCATGGCTGGTCTGCACCTCCCCCTTCAGTTGGTGCGCATAATGCGCACCTGGAGACGGAGTAAAGGCAGAGACTAGCTCTACTGCAGCCCCCTTCAGTAAATCAACCTCTCGAGTATGTGGCTGTTTTGTCCGGGCTGTGGTTTAACATGGTGTGACTTTCACCGCGCGCTATGAACGCCACATGGGGTTTGGTGACGGTTCTGAGTCTGGTGTGCCACACAGAGTCGAGGTGCTCACCGACCACCTACTACAAAAACTGCTGGATCCGACGGTTCCCGGGAATTTTCATCAACATGGAGGAGTCTCAGAGGAGAGGAGCGCAGCTGGTCAAGTTTTACCAAGAGGAGAGTGCGCTGAAGTGCAGCCGCACCTGCTGCCTCACGAAGAACTGTAGGTTTCCCTCCTTTCTTTTACTTCCACATGCATGTTTTATGATTATATTCAACTGTCCTCTCCGACTTCTCTTTTCCAGTTTCATGTAACTTGGCCATATTTCATTATAATAGCAGCCAAGAAAACTGCTTCCACCTGCTGTGTCCAACACTGGAGAGCTGCATTCTGACACACAGAGGTAACGTTGTCCTCTACAACATCACAAAGGGTGAGTCTCCTCAGACTTGTTATTTTCTATAAGTCCTATTGTTACCTGGTCATAGGAAGACTTCTGCAAACGTCAATACACCTGAGAGCTGCTAAGTATTCCTGCTCAGGTACAATTTGGATTGTGCTTAATTTTTTGCAACTGATACTTGTTTTTTAGTGTCAAATGGCCCTTTAAATATAAATCCATAAACTAAATTAGTAACTGTTTATTCACTAAGACTTTACACATACATTACATTTCAGTCTGTTAAAAATCTACACATGATCACCAACCAGTAAGCTGTAATACTCCATATACAGAACAATAAGTGCACAATGTGAAAACATGCTGATTTAAACTACGTAATGACAGCAGCATGTTTCAGACAAGCCAGGACTTTTAGTTGCAGGTTTTGTACCAGAAATGTTCAAATGTTTTGTCGGTTTTCTTGTTCTTGAATTATTAAGACAATTAACAGTCAGGCCACAATGTTGTTATAGTGTTAAAAATTTTAAGCAAATTTCTTTTTACGTTTCCTCTAATGAGTCTTTTAATGTTTGAAGGTGATCTTCATTGATAATTCTTTAGGCTTTCTGGAGGTCTTTTAAACATATTTTTAAGGGGAGACTGGTGTTGTTGTTATTGTGTCTTACTGATAAGGTACTCCCAGTATAAGATACTGATATGATACTCCCAGCAGCTTAGACTCTACAACCATCACTGCTCCCAACAAACTCAATAAGGGTTAAATACATGCTGACCTTTGCTCAATCACACACTCTACCTGTAATACTGTATTGTAAATAGTTTGCCATTCTCAATGTTCAATGCATATTGAACATTACTGAACATTATTATTGTTTGTCTTATTACTTTATATATAGTTTTTAACATTTTAGGAACTTTTTGTGTGAATCTTTTTATCTGTTGCTGATGTTGCTGCTGTTGCACTTGAATTTCCCATCCGTGGGACAAAGGCTGTTTCTATTCTATTCTATTCTATTCTATTCTAAGCTTTGTTCAATTCTGACAATTTGAGGTTACACAGATCTTGGATCCATCTAATTCCTGGGATGTTCTACTTATCTTTTCTATTGTTAAAACTCAATAAGCTGGGTCTGCGTGACTCACTTATATTTTTGCTATGCCAGTACCTGACAATAATAGCGTATTGTGTACTGTGTGGTCAACAAATAGAGGAATGTGGACAAATGCAAAACAAAAACAAGTGTTAGGTCTTATGAACTTCAGCAAATGAACATTATCTGAAAATTATGTCTTTAAGAAACCAGAAAGAAATGCTGCTTGAAACAGGAGCGAAAGATCCATCGCCTTTATCTAAACATGTCAAGTTTTCAACCTACTGCTCTTTAAGAATCACTGTAGCGACTTCGATCCACAACAAGTCGCTGCCGGCTGAGTAGAGTTTGCTCTGTGAGGCGTCTCCATTAATCCATGCTGAGTCCACCTTGTATTTTGTGTATTTATTAAAACTAACACAATTACTTTTGCATCCAGCAAACAGCGTCTGTATTAATTTACATATTGGTCAGTTTGACTGACAAAGATATTGATCAAAAATTATGTTTCTAAATTGTCCCTCAGTGACGTCAACAGAAAAGTTTGCCAGAAACCCTACTAACCCAGCACCTGGTGCAATTACTCAGATCAGCTAAGTAATATGTGACCACGCCCCTCATGCATGCCCCTGGAGTGCTGGAAAATCTAAACACCTGTGCCACCACAAACAACAATTCAATTCAATTCAGTTTATTTATATAGCGCCAAATCACAACAACGTTGTCTCAGGGCACTTTACAGGAACATTCACATACATAAAAGCCAATTAGTAAATTTCTCTATCTAAGGAATCCAGCAGACAAGTTGAATCTTGGCTTTGTTGCAGTCTCCCATCCTGAGCAAGCACAGTGGCAACAGTGGAAAGGAAAAACTCCCTTTTAAAGGAAGAAACCTCCAGCAGAACCAGGCTCAGGACAAGCAGCCAACACAACACCTAACAGTCATTTTGGCTCTTACAATCACCTTGTTGGAAATAACATTCTATCAAATTGTCAAGTTTTATTATTATTTTTTTTTTGTATAGAATCAACTAAAGTAACCACTTGTGCTTTTGTGACCAGCTTCTGATAACAAAGTTACAAAAATTACAATTTTAATGTGCTTTTTGCTAAGTTGTCTGTTGTGTGCCAAAATAAGACAAGTTCATCTCTTGAGTTTAGGTTCCTTTCTTGTCAATTCAGTTTATTTATAAAGTGCCAAGTTACAACAAAGTGTTCTCAGGGCACTGAACAGAAATATTCACATACATACAAAGCCATTTAGTAAAATTTATCTATCTAAGGAAGCCGGAAGATGCATTGAATATTTATTTTGTCACAGTCTCCCATCCTGAGCAAGCACAAAGACAACAGTGGAATGGAAAAACTCCCTTTTAACAGGAAGAAACCTCCAGCAGAACCAGGCTCAGGAGTGCTTGACTGGCTGGAATTTGAGAAGACAGGAAGGAGAAACAAATAGAATGACAGATCCAGGTGTACTATGGGAAGAAAAAAAACGCATGTTCAGAATAGAAATAGTTACAAATACAAACAGGTAAAGACAGTAACAGAGTGAAAAAATGTGGTCTTTGTCCTCCAACAGTCTAAGCCTATAGCAGCATAACTAAGGGATAGCTCAGGAAACTCAAGCCAACCCTAACTATAGGATTTATCAAAAAGGAAAGTCTTAAGCCTAGTCTTAAAACTAGACAATGTGTCAGCCTCACGGGCAGAAACTGGAAGTTGGTTCCACAAGAGAGGAGCCTGATAACTGAAAGATATGCCTGCATCTGAATGCAATGATGTGGAGATGGCAAATGTCAATATTTTATTCGTAATATAACATACAGGTCCTTCTAAAAAAATTAGCATATTGTGATAAAGGTCATTATTTTCCATAATGTAATGATACAAATGAAACTTTCATATATTTCAGATTCATTGCACACCAACTGAAATATTTCAGGTCTTTAATTGTTTTAATACTGATGATTATGGCATACAGCTCATGAAAACCCAAAATGCCTGTCCCAAAAAATTAGCATATTTCATCACACCAATGAAAGACAAGTGTTTTTAATACAAAAAACGCCAACCTTCAAATAATCATGTTCAGTTATGCACTCAATACTTGGTCGGGAATTCTTTTGCATGAATGACTACTTCAATGCGGCGTGGCATGGAGGCAATCAGCCTGTGGCACTGCTGAGGTGTTATGGAGCCCCAGGATGCTTCGATAGCGGCCTTAAGCTCATCCAGAGTGTTGGGTCTTGCGTCTCTCAACTTTCTATTCACAATATCCCACAGGTTCTCTATGGGGTTCAGGTCAGGAGAGTTGGCAGGCCAATTGAACACTGTAATACCATGGTCAGTAAACCATTTACCAGTGGTTTTGGCACTGTGAGCAGGTGCCAGGTC